GGGGGGGCATTGCTCCCAGTAAATGGTTTATGAAGAGACAATGCACTGCCGGGGTGACACTCACAGAACTAGGTGACCCCACAGCAGTGGCTCCCTGTGCAGTGCGGGAGGGCTGAGGTTGCAGCCACAGGGACAAACGTGCCCCCCCCCCCCCCCCCAGTCTCTTTCCGGGAGCGTTTCAGGCGTGGCAGGTGGCCGTGCCCTTAGCCCGGGGAGGGAGGGAGGCCAGAGGACAGCTCACGTCAGTATGCGAACCCAGCTTCATTGTACACCCTGAACACCTTCTCGATGGCGCACAGGTAGGCAGCGGTTCTCTGGTCCAAGCCCAGGTTGTACCTCGTGGCGATGTTCATGATTTGCTAGAAAACAAACAATGCGCAGAGGCACAAGGGCTGAGCCGGGCACCGGGCGGGCTGGGGGGCAGTGTGAAATCCAGCAGCCGCCAGCAAGCCTGGGCCCATAACCATCCCTTCTGCAGCTCCAGCAGCAAGAGCCCTTCTGGGAGGAGGCCCCGAGGGGCAGGTCAAAGCCAGGGTTTCAGTGGCAGCGGAGAGGCCGTGCTAGGGCTGCACCAGCAGGGCTCTCCCAGTCGCAGGAGCAGTCTGATGGAACGATCCTAGCGCTGCTAACACACCCAGAGCCCCCGACGCTGCACTGGGTACGGGCCACCCGAGCGCACGCAGGCCGGCTAAACACGGCACCCCACGGCAGCACATCGCCAGCGGGAACCCCCCCGGCCTTCAGTCTGGGCAGCCCCAAGTTCTACCCAGCCCTCGACAAGGGCAGTGACAGCTGTCAGTCACTTCAGGGCGAGGCTGCAGCCTGCTCAGACGCTCCCCGGCCGGGCCCAGCAGTGAGAGCGCGAGTGGGTGAGGCCTGGGAGGGGCTGTGGTTCGAGCAGCCCTGAGATCGCGACTGAGCTGCCAGGCCTCGCCCTGCACGCCGATAACGGCACAGCGCCACGGCCAAGGGAAGCTCTTTTCTAGGGCTACACCGGGAAAAGCTGCGAACTGGGCTCCAACCGGGGGGCACCCACGCTGAAGGGAACGGAACAAACCGCAGCCCTGGGACTGATCCCCAGGGCCCCGGTTCAGAGCAGCTCCCGAGCCTGTGTGAATACCCAGAGAGGGAGAGGACTGGGACTCGTTAGCACAAGCTGCAGTGACACCTGGGGGACAGAGGCACATACCTGGGCCGAGCGGTCCATAGTGTAGGCCAGCCCTGAGTGCACGATATCCTTCTCTGAGGCCCCCTGCAAGGGGAAACCAAATGAACCCCTTGACAGGGACGAGGTCAGCATCACCCGCCTTGCCGAGCCGGACAGAGCCTCGGGGTGAGGCAGCACGCTCTGCGGAGGGGCTAGCAGCGGGCTGGGTGGCCATGAGGCTGACCCTGTGGCCGGGTGCTCCTGCTGCTTCTCCGGGGATACTTCCCTGGCTCAGGGGTTGCCCCCGATTTACAGCAGCATGACCCTGTCGGCCCAGGTCTCAGATCACTGTATCTCGTTCTCTGTCCCATGCTAAGCCCAGCCACTGACCCAGTCAGTTCTGCAGGGCTCTCCTCTAACAGCAACTGGTCCCCAGCCGCTTGAGCACCTGGCCCCCCTTTCCAAGGGCTGGTCCCTACGGCCTTGGCTTCTCAACCCAGCGCCAAGCCCGCACCACTGGGTTTCCAACACAGCCCTGGCTACAGGAACCTGGGATCCCAACCGCTGGCTGAGCTCCAGGTAGCCAAAGCGCAGGCTGCCTGCAGCCAAGAGGCCGGCATGCCCCCTACTTGCCATGGGGCTCAGCCTGTGGGGCCGCCTTTGTCCCTCACCCTTCTGGCCATTTGTCCTTAAACCGTTCGGTGAGTCTGCACAGGCCAGTCCCAGGGCATTTCCACACCAGTGACACTGGGACAAAGGGGCTGGTGTAAGGTCCTCCCAGGAACCCCAAGCACGTGGGGGGCCTACACCAGGTGCAGAGCCAGCTCTGTGCATCCCCGGGCGCAGCAGTGTTCTGTGGGGAGTGGGGGTCAGGGCTGCAGCCGGGTAATTCTGCACCCTGGCAAAGACCCACGGGCCCCTTGCAGCAGGGGCACAACTTGGGCAGCCCTCAGAGCTGGCCTGGCTTTTACCACATCAGCGCCCACTGCACTCAAATAAGGAAGGTCTCTGTCCCTGCACCGGCACCGATCTGGCCCACAGCTCTGGAGGGAGGCTGCCCTTTCCCCAGCGCCACAGCAGCCCCCGCCCTCCAGGGGAAAGGAAACGAGCAGAGAGTGCCTGCTACCCAGGAAAAGCCTGGACTTACTGCCACCCTGGCCCGGAACTCCGGGGAGGGGATGATGGGGATCTCCCCGCTGCCCTTCCCAAGGGTCCGCTCCAGGCTCTGCTGGACAGACATCAGCAGGTGGTAGTTGGAGTCCCGCTCGTACTTGAAGGTCAGGCGGCCATAGCTCACGTGGTTGAGGTTCTTCAGCCACTCGAAGAAGGAAACGGTCACGCCGCCCGCGTTCACATACAGGTCCTGCGAGGGGAGAGGCCGCGATGGTACAGACCTGCCAGAGCGAGCCCCGTCAGAATCCAGACACAACGTCACGGCGCAGGCCACTCTTCCGAATC